TTTAGCACTGTGAGAAACGTCGGCGCATCTTTTTTGTGCGCTCTGATCATACTACTCACAAATGTGAGTAGTACCTCATAACAAACTTGTCCTCTAACACTTACCTCAGGAAACACTCATTCAAGTTAGTACTCCAAAAGTGTCATTCATTTAACCTAAAACTGTGTAGTATTTGGAATTCCGTACCACTTCACGTTGGCTCTGCGCCCCTAATTGATTCTTCCAAACAGAGACTGGAGGAATCAATGTAATATCTTAAACTTTTGATACACGTAGACCTACGGAAACAATGAAAATGTGTGATATCCCTCATTGCTCTCTGTTAGTGAAGCAAAAACCCTATGAGATAAGAAAACTAACCGCTCGTAATTATTTACCAGAATAAAACTTTGAAGTTGACATTAACGTAACTCAGGCCCTCTACGGTGTTGTTTCGATGACGTCGATCACTTGATCCTGTTTCGACTTTGAGGTTTACTATGCGACCTGCAGGTTCTGATATCGATCTCTGCCACAGCCGCCCACCTTTGCGTTTTTTTTATTCCTTTAGGTAGCCAGTGTATGGTTGTGTCTTCCCTTCCTGATACTTGACCCTATGTTTGTATGCTCAATAAACAAAAAAAGAAAGTTGAACTTCCTTAATTTATGAAAACAAAACTTCCGCCTAGTAAAATATGTGCAGAGATGGAACGAATGAGAGCCTCTGGCCATGTTTTCACCTGGCATATTGGTGTAAAGATGAGTAAACAATTTGTTACAAACTACTGTCTAAGACTATTATATTGCGACGTCTTCACATTGAGTAAGCTGCCTCATTCAGTAGGGTCTGTGCTAATTTATAAGCGCTCCCATGATATGCTGCCTTGGTTACGATGGTGTAAAGGGATGGAGAAAGGGGCTGAATTAATCCGCCTATTTTTCATTTGTAACCGTTTAATGCACAAAGAAAATTTACATAAACATGGAAAGAAAAACTTTATGCTATCATTTTGGAATAAATTTGCATTTATTTTAACAAATAAAAGTGCTCATCTTGCTTTCTTTTCTCTAACCAAAGATGAACCGTATGAACAAACTTTTTTGTCTTTGTGGCTCATAAAATTGTGTTTACGGAGTAAAAAACTGCATGCCCTTTGAGCGGTCATTCACCTCCATGAACGTAAATACGTTAACATCACTATAGCAACGTATTGAGAGAGTTCATACGATTTGGCGTATCAAATCATCAGCTGAAGGCATTTTGTTCGGCCTTGTTTTCGACGATTTCCGCCCATAAATCAGCGGCTCCGTTGATGATTTAAAGATAAATTCAGCTTGTTCCACCGGTCGGGGTTAAATTTCATCGAAAAGCAAAGATGGAAAACCTGGCGGGAAGCGACACTCGTGGACTGCGCTAGACCTTGTATTCCGACAGAGCTTCTGTTTTATACTACTACTACTACTACTACCCGTATCTGTGGGAGGGGGCTAGGGAAGCAAAATAGTTGGCTGCCTCGTGGATCACCTACCACCACGGTACATCTATCTGTCTTCCTAAAACATCATAGTAAACATGATACCGGACATTAACCATCGAGTGAACGGAAGAATAAGCAAAATAAACTGATCATCTGGGAAAATATCGATATTATAACCTTTCGAAAAAATTAAGGAAAATAGAAATAGAAGCAAATTTAAACCGGTAAACTAAGGCAATAATTCCCGAAGATTTATCAAGACGATTAATCCTCCTCGAAACGAACCCGACCCTCCAAAACGGACTGTGATTAGGACGATCGGATGACTTACTAAAAATATGATGAAGTTAACCAACTGCAGAACCAAATAAAGAACAAGCGACTGTTGTTGTTGTTTATACTACTGACAAACAGAAACTCTTGATATTGAAGTTTTTTCTGCTTTGGAATTGAAACGATTTATGAGAACTGCTGAAGTCGCTGAATAAAATACCCAAACCTCAAAACTAGAGATGCTAATCCTAAACGTCTTTAAATACTTCGAAATACTTCAGAGATGGAAAATGACAACGATACATATGCTGAGTTCCGTTGGTGAGCATTCAATTTGGGTACACATTAGAAACTTTTTACTTCAACTTCGGTTGTACTGTTTAAAAAAGAAGCACCCTCAAGGTTGCTGAGCAAGTAATTATAGAATAATTTATCTATAGCAGTCAAGAGGGTACATTCTGTTTTAGGGAGTAGCCTGTTCATAGTAATTCACTAAACTAGATTTAACACGAAAATCAATGGTCTTTCAATAGAGCAAACAGATGTATTTTTATTTTAAATCATGAGCACATGACACCAAAACTGATCCATTAAAAGCATCTCCTTTCCCTGTTTCTGAGCTCTGAACAGATTTCAAAGTATTATGATCCTTATTTATGAACAAAAAGTACAAGAAATTATGAAAAACGTAAGATTTGAATAGCTTATATTAAAAATTATCATAATCCTTTGAAGTTATTTTTATGGTATTTTGAACTGGTCAGTGATTCAGGTGTAATAGTTAGTTGAACGTTTGAAACTTTTATCTTGCACTCTGGGTTGTGAACACCGTTCGCAGTCTAAACGCGTTCTGTGCAACCATATTTATTCTCGTGTCGTCTCATCATATTTTATATTTTTTCACACCTTTCTGGGGGCCGAACCGTGGGACAAAACCTCTTGGTCCAGTAATCTTCGGGAAAAGAAAATTGTTATAGAATTTACGCCAAGTCTCTATACTGCTAGGTTGCTTAGGTGGAAGCAAATACATTTTCTTGGAAAATTTACAACCGGAGCCTCTGGTTAGCCAAAGTCGTAAGGCAGCAGCCTTGTTTGTGAAAGCCGCAATATATTGGGTTCGGTGTCCTGTTGATCATATCATAGGCTTTTTGAATGGGGTCAAACGTCCAAGATGTCCAATGAACCTCAATGCCCAGTTGGGCCGGTGACCATCCCTGCAACCGAACAAATGTTTGTGGTTCTTATGTATTATCTTCCTTAGATCGAAATCAGGTTTGTAGCCAGTTCTCCTAGGTGAACTGTCAATGGTTCTTCGGCCCGGTTTTTATCTCGGAAGGTGGCTTTTCGCCCACTCATTTCGATGGTTAAATACCATTTAGAAAAGGCAGTGAGTTAGGCTTCCTCATCAGTGACTATTAGAGACGACTGATCATACAGGAGCACATTGGAAGATGTAAGAAAAGAGTGATCAACGACAACGCAAGACACCGACCCCCGACCATACTGAGGGTTTCTTATCAGTAGCAGAAAAGTCACGATAGACAGTTTAGATAAATTAGTCATAAGCTAAAATTTAGACGGACCATGCGCAGACCATTGATGTCAGTAGAATGAAATTCAGAACTGCTTCCGAGAGAATTTTCAAATAAATAAGCAAAGAAGGCTCATGTCGAATTTGTCTGCATCAGCTCCTCTTACAAAACAATCTAAAATTCTACTGAAATAGTTAGACCACTTTTGGTACACTAATTAAAATGTCACCGAAACTCATCTGGTGACTTAAAATGTCTTACACTCTAACTTACTTCATCGGACGTTATTTGCAGATCTGCGAGAGAAAATTACCAGTTAGTAGACGTACGAAGCGAAGACATACTGACTTCATTTATGGTAAACCAAAATAAAATGCAACGTCTGACATATAATCCACATCCACAATCAAGTTATCGAATGGTCCATCATATGTTTGAAATTTACTTTTGAAATTTTGCGCATGTGGGACCTTCTGTCTTCGTCGTGAAATCTTGAGGTTTCACCGTGCATTTTCAATACGGTCAAAAAATACAGTTTTCGGCCAGCACTTATCCAAGTTAGTTCTATGAAATTAGGAATAATAGATGAAACCATATCACAGAATCTGTAAAAAAACATTGATCGTTACAAATCGCATCCCAATTTATTACACATAAACATTACAAAATACATTTGAAACCTTTCTTTCATCTTATTCGTAATAATCTTGTATTCATCATCGTCATCATCATCATCATCACCATCATCATCATCGTCACTACCATCATGAAACCAGGTGTCGTTTCCGTCGTCGTCACATTCTTCCCTGTCATCACAAACAATGTTTGGCTGAGATATTAGAAGTTTGCAGGATAGCAATGGTTAAAATGGCGCTCGGAATTTTACAATGAATGAGGCTTGAAGACTTCTTCGTCTTTTCTTTTCAGTTCTCCGTGCCTCGTCGGCAATCTGTATATCCACATAAAGAATCAAGCTTTTTTACCTGATAGAATCTGGTGTTACGGAGAAATGGCTTTTCAGCATCTCCTTGTTTCAAACGCTTGTGATGTTACTGAATCGAATTTTCAGTAATCTAAAAGCACAGATACTCACGACCTACCACTTATAAACGCATGACTTCCTTCAGAGTTGCAATACGTTTAGTGTTTTTCGTGTTAATTTTAGAAGGCAGTTTGATTAACCTGGGTGATTTGAATAAGAAGCATTGATAAACTCAAAGCTGGTTTCACCAGTGCATGATGCGAGATTTGTTTTTGGAGCACATTTTCAAAGTTGAACTGCTTTTCATAGTGGAATTCACTTCAATGACCAAATAAACCCAAGCATAGATTAGAACGATGCGTAGTTATAAAGAAGTTTGTTTATTAGTGCTTGTTAGGTTGCCACTCGGATCTCATACGGTTTTCTCAACTATGTGTATTTGAAATTTCAACTCGGCCACAAGGCTAATTAAAACGTTTAGCGTTCTCAGTTCTCATCTATGTCTATGCTTAGCTGCACCCGCAGAGCTCGTTTTCACTCATCCAGTTAGAAGAAAAGCAGTTTCAAATTAAAGAACATGCACGTGTTTTGCAAGGGTAGGTCAACTGATACAAACAAGCATGCGCTCAATCGGAGGAACAAGTGGAACAGAATAAATTCACAGTGCCTCTGTCTATTCCAAGGGTGAGATATCTGGGCATTTGGATTGTAGATGGAACAAACTCAAGCACTCGAATCGCCATGGGACCGTTCTCGTTAAGCTGTACGTGATCTGGTAGGCAAACCCAAGAGGAAGCGTTTACGATTGTGTCTTTGCAAGCTGCGCGCAGGCAGTCCGAGGAGGAATCGCTTTTGCACCCAACCGTCCTCGTAGTCCTCATCATCCTCGTCGTTTTCGTCCCGTTTTGAACGATGCAGTCGTCTACGGGGTCCGGGAAAACCGGCACCGAGCAGAAAACGGCGTTCTCTTTGCATGTATGGGGAGTACATGTCTGTTTCGTCTGCACCGTAGTCTGCCAATCCATCTGGCAGATCTGCCCGCGAGAACATTACAATTGTAGCCAGGATTAGAGTAAGTCGAAGCATTGCGCACTGAAACGAGAAAGTGAGATGGATCGGTTGAGTCAGATAGTTCATTAAGCGATAGAGGAATATATCAAATTTTTGACCATTTGTCTTGTTTGTAAGCAATAATTCAAATTTAATGAAGCTCAAGTGCGACTGGTAAAAACAACTATGTTGAAAATAAAAATGACTAAACAGACTGATACAACTCTTAACAATCAGAATTGATTCAAAATCTTGATAGCTCAACAAATTTGTAACACTGAAACCGATTCAAGCAACAATCAGTAATGAAAGTACTTTCAAAGACTAATGAAATTTTATAAGAGAAAAAAATTGATACATTTGATGATAGAGTTACCTCAGTGAGTTTCAATTTATTATTATTATTGTTATTATTATTATTATTATATCAACTATCGATCACTAATAGATTTGTTAAACATTGCAACTACTAAGTGACTAATAACAATCCTTCGTCCAGGGTGAACTCTATCAGATATTTCGGTGTAACCGTAGATAGAAATGTTCATTGGTCAACCCACATTCACAACTGTATTGGTAAATTGCGGCGCCTTTCATTTCAAATACGGAAGCTCAGGCAGTTTTGCGCATCCCAGTCAGTTATTTCTACCTTTGTTTATCAGTGTTTTCCCCATCTTACTCTACTGTTTCCCAGTTATTTTTCTTGGCTTACGCAAACAGGATTTACGCCGCGGCCTAACCATTATTTGTCGTGTTTATGCTATTCCTGTGAATGAATTAGCTGTAAAACTTTTAGAGTATCACGTAACTTCCTGTGTGAAGTTTGCTGAGAGGATTCTCTCAGATCCTGGCTATCCATTGCACGCAGAATTGACACGTTGTCGTTCTCATCATTCAACACGCCCCAATTCCGTCAAATTTCATCTCGAAATAACGCTTACCGCAATTCACCTATACCGTATCTTGCTCGTCTACTCATAAACGAAGAATGGACAATAAGTGAATTTTGTCTTAACTTTGGATTACGAAAATTCCCCATGTGTGATTCTGTACGTTGTGACGGCTAGCGTGTATGATATTTTAACCGAATTAAGAGCTTCAGTGATTACAATAGTTATACACAATACAATACAATACAGTAAGTTTCGCGAAGCACTAACTGAAAGCTGTTTGACCTGAAGTTTGATGCGGGATGAAAACCAAGGGTAAGGTAGCGTGGATAATTTTGAAAAATGGTGAATCAAAATACCCTGTCTCCGTCGTTTATTATATTATGCTGTTTGGTGATATTCATGCGACAAGTAAACGAGTGACAGATACAGTTCACTATGTTCAACGGTTCCAGTAGTTCGTCATGAAGTAGTAGACTTAGTAGAGTTTTTTCCCGAAGGCGTTGAAAGTTTTTTTTTCACTTTCAAATGGAGTTCAAATGTGGTCTCACTCTCAGAGATTTGCTGGCACCAATTTATCAACGGTGCTAATGAGATACCAAGGCTTCATTCACTCATCTGCCCGTACCGATGAATTGGATATGGCTATCTTGAAAGTTGTAGGGATCGCTGAGGCATCACAAATGATATGGAACACAAATCCGATAATTATCGGTAATAAACATTGTGAAATTGTTTATTCTGTTTTTTCAGACACTCAACAAAATTGCTTCTCAGTTGTATTTCATCGGGCTCAACTCGAGGCTGTAATTAAGTGGTGTTTATTACCAAAATGCGTACGTTCTTTAAAATGGTTATTTGACCGGAAACGCTCAATCCGAAATTGTAGTTTGAATCCATTCGAAAAAAACCGTGGCTCCCTTCGCGTACTGCTGTTTCCTCCTTTATTGTTTCATTGCTGATTTCATACTGCAATCGTATCACTCGTCCACTGACAACTTGGACTTGTGCAAAAACCAAGAAAATGTGAACGCTCCTGATCAGTTTTCTCCGTCAGTACAGACAGAATGCCTTGCAGCTATTCCTAAACAGTAATTTATTTAGACCTATTGATAGATCGGGTATCTTAAAGTTTATAATGAATTCATATAAGTTCAGAACACAGCGTAGGTGTATATATGTTTTCGGTGAATTCCTTTTCAAGCCTTTACAATCACACTTATATGAAACAATTTCAATACGGTCAAACACAAAGGTGGATGAGTCATGTGTTTGGCAATGAGCCCAATAGAACTCAAAATTAGTGAGCAGTTTGGATCACATAACCAAAGTGGTTACGTCATGGTCGTGTGAACAAGCGATTTTTTCTTCCCCTGGCCAGGAAAGTTTGAGAGCTTGAATCAGTTTGCGTTGTACGCACAGCTCAGGCTTCATGAGTCGTTAGAAACATTCGTTAGAAAATGCACAAAGGAAGAGAAACTACAATGTCCGAACAACCAGTTGATTTCAAATATCTTTTATATCAATCTTTACCAGTTTACTGTCTCATATATTCCATGCTGCTCAAATCTTATATTCTTCTTTCTAAATCTTTGAACCGGCAAGTGAATTTAAAAACACTTGTTCCCCTCTTGCAATAGATCTCAAAAATTGAAGTGTCGCAGTTTTATCTTTCTCACATATTATTGAGTAATCTATCCTGTTTAGGATGAACAAGGTCAAAAAATGTCAAATCAACTTCAAATGTTGGACCGTGGATCGAACCATAAGTGCGGAAATTTCTCCGATACAGTCATCAACTACAGTTTGGCTGTGTTCAAATGTTTGTTTGCAGATTTGAAGTTTGTATGACGATTGTGAAAAGTTCAGTATCCTGGGGGGGGGGGGCATTCGAACCCAAGTGTTGGGGTCGCCTACACTTTGAACCCGCACGCTCTAATAGCTGAGCTAAAAGGCCACACCGAAAGCACTAATCTTTTCAAATTCAAATTACCCATCCGACTTACAGAGATGTAAGACATCCATCAGTCAACATGTAAGCCGACTGCCCTGACAGATTTTCCTCAGAATCCACCGGAGTCCACCCAATGAGCTTCTGAAGAAAGTTTAATTGTTCAAATAGTCGTTTGGCTATATTTCTCTGTAATTTGGATGGGTAATTCGAATGAAAATATCAGTGCTATCAGGGCGGCTTCGTGGCTCAACTGGTACAGCGTAGGCGGCTTCTATGCTTGGGTTCGAATCCCACCCAAACTACTGAACTTTTCACAATCGCCATACAAATTTGGCTAGTTGTCAAAAACAGTTCTTTCCACATATACACACGCTGGAGTTCATGTTACATGCATTTATTATGTGTAAATATAGTTTTGATAATTCCATGCGAATGCAGAGACATGGATGTGAACAAATGAAATAACGCTGACGATCTTTCCACTAGTCTAGCTTGGACAGAGGAAATAAATAGTTTTTTGATAAACTCTGCAAGTAATCGCTCAGTTCTGATTATTTTCTCTAAAGCTATTGGCTTTGTTTTGTCATCTTCCGAGAGAGCTTCATCAAACAACTCATCGTTACAGTGAATGTTATAATATGAGAATGTAGTGCTTTGGACAGACAGAAAAAAGTCTCCAAATCTTCAGGAATATTACTGAATTGGAATGATTGCAAGAGACATAAAGCAAAAATCATACGAAGACTTTTGGCTGCAGTATCAATGCTTGTGCTCAATTTGGCAGTGAACGACCCATCTCCCCTCCTTACGAAGGACAGTAGTGGTTGAACCTCGAAAACGGCAAAGGAATATGTGAACAGACCAACCTAGATAAATGACAACCCCAGCACGCACTGCGAAGGATCCATCAGTTGAACTGTAGATCTCGTATTTTGAGCTCGGGGGGGGGGGGGGGGGGGGNTATCGAAGTTGTAAAGCTTGTAACATTTTTCGCTAAAAAGCAGAGGGAACGAAAGTTCACTCGTTTGGGAAAACACCAAAGTGGCATGCTACCTTGTTGCATCGTCCTGTCAGTCGTTACACATATGTATACTCACACAGGAAACATATTTCACAATACAAATTGAACTCAACCGAGTGCTAGTTTGTTTCAAATAAATAACTTTGTCTCGTTATTTTTTTCTGTTCGCCCTTGGATAAATCGGAAATTATCGTGGACCAGCCTAACGTAATTCACCAGGTTATTGTATAGGATGATGCTCAACAACAGATGCGATTTTTAGCTTTCTGCTCTTGATTGCAAGCTAAACTCAAATTTATGCACGTATCATACACTGACATCCATGGGGTAATGAACCTCTTCTCATTGTGCTTACATTCTGAATTAAATACGGATTGAGGATTGAGACACGAGCTGCCTAACCTTTATTGAGATCGGTTTGAACGAAGTAGAAACCATCTGTTCGAAACGAGTGCAATTTAGACATTTGCTTTGATCTGTTGAGGCCATTTGATCCATCCATATATATTTGCCAATTCCAATGTAATCCCAGCGTTTTGACCCCAAACAAAAACGAGAAATACACCTAAAGTACGGTTTCGTTCATACAAAACAAACAACGGAATTTAGCAATTTGTCACTCGACATTTGCCCCACTCCTCGGTGGAAGTCTATCAGGTCATTCTTTGGTTTATTTACTTTGCTGTCGAAACATAAATTATTTGGTTTTATTTTGCCCCTGCCAATTTAGTAGATAAAATTGTTCCATACAACACGTTCGATTAGGACCATGGCTACCATTCAACACGAATTAGTCTAATCGCAATGGTTTTTCAAAGTGAAATATTTTATCCAATCACTAGTAGGGAAAACTAATTTCTGTCCCCCACCCCCTCACCGGTAGACGGTGGATGGCAAAACGATCACTACTAGCCTTTCGGGGGATCTGAACTTTAAAATTCATGGAGAGTATATTTTAGTGAAACCTGCAAAACCTAAACGAAGTATTGTGTCTTAAACGGTTTTAAACCCGTCACAGTAAAAAATACTGGAAACAGAAAAATGAGTAACTGCTCACTACTTTTCGTACAACGAACTGTTTAGGGAGGGGATGAATTTGTTCCCGGTTTATCTACGTGCTCCAATAAATCATTCAGTCCACTAGACTCATCTCGTTCGCCCACAGGACACA